TTGCGATTATTGAAATTGCGATGCTTCAATTTAAAATTATACGCCAATGCACTAAATGTTGATTTTGTTTTTTTTTTCAATGCTAAATGGTAGAAAATTCTAACGCTGATTAAGTATTGAATATTGGTTTTCATTTTGCGTATTGAAATTGAAAAGCATTTTGCAAAAAGCGATAAGGCGGAAACAAGTACTCTTCTTCAGAACTTAATTTCCATGAAGTATCAAGACAAAGGAAATATAAGGGAATACATTATGAGAATGTCAAATATTGCTTCAAAATTAAGGGCACTAAAGCTTGAGCTGTCAGAAGACTTGCTTATTCATTTAGTGCTGATTTCTCTATTTTTACAGTTTAGTCAGTTTAAGATCTCTTATAACTATCAGTGGTCTCTTAATGAGCTCATTTTATACTGTGTGCAAGAAGAGGAAAGAATGAAGTAAGAAAGAACTGAAAGTGCCTATTTTGCAAGTACCTCTAAAGACAAGGGCAAAAGAAAGATGACTCAAGACTTTAAGAATGAAGTTGTTAAGGGTCGAGCACAAAAGAAACAAAATCAGGATAACAACTGTCTCTTTTGCAGTAAGTTTGGACATTTAAAGAAGAAATGTATCAAATATCATGCTTGGCATGCAAGAAAAGGTATGTTTCTTACTTTAGTCTGTTCTGAGGTCAATTTAGCTTCAGTACCTAGAAACACTTGGTGGTTAGATTCAGGTGCCATTACTAACATCAGTGTTTCAATGCAGGTCTGCTTACGCTACCGGAAGCCAATTGAATTTGAAAGATGAATATATGTTAGAGATGGCAAATTGGTGGAAGTGGAAGCTATAGGGAATTTTAGATTATTATTGTGTACTGGTTTTTATTTGGATTTGAAAGACACTTTTGTTGTACCGTCATTTAGATGAAATTTGGTTTCAGTTTCTTATTTGGACTAATCAAGTTATTTCTGTTCATTTGGAAACCATATGGTTAAGTTGTTTTTTTATTCAGATATTGTTGGAATTGATTCAATTTTAGCTTATGATAATCTATAGTTGCTTGACACTGTAGCTACCTACAATGAATCCTTAAATGCGGAATCACGTGGTACTAAGAGTAAAATTGACAATATTAATTCAGGAGCATTATGGCACAGACGTATAGGTCACATCTCTAAAAATAGAGTTGAATGACTTGTGTCAAATGGAATCTTGGATTCCATTGACTTCACAAACTTTGATGTTTGTGTTGAATGCGTTAAAGGTAAACAAACAAAAACAAAGAAATTAGGTGCATATAGAGCTACGGATGTCTTAGAGTTGATACATACGAACATTTGTGGGGCATTTCCTAAATGGTCAGCAATATTTTATATCATTTATAGACGATTACTCTATATATGCATACCTATTTCTTATACATGAAAAGTTACAATCTCTGGATGTGTTCAAAACATTTAAAGTTGAAGTTGAGAATCAACTCAACAAAAGAATCAAGAATGTCAGATCTGATCGTGGTGGTGAATACTATGGCAGATATGATGATTTAGGTGAACAACGTCCAGGGCTTTTTGCCAAGTACCTAGAGGAATGTAGAATCATCCCACAGTACACTATGCTGGGGTCACCTAGCATGAATGATGTGGCTGAAAGATGAAACAGGACTCTTAAGGATATGGTAAAGAGCATGATCTATCATTCTACCTTGCCAGAGTCACTCTGGGGAGAGACACTAAAGACTGCAGCTTACATGTTAAATAAAGTGCCAACAAAGATAGTTGCCAAAATGCCTTATGAGCTTTGGACTGGGCGAAAGCATAGTCTGAAACATTTTCATGTGTGGGGATGTCCAGCTGAGGCAAGGTCTTATAGGCTGAATGAAAAGAAATTGGACTCCCGAACAGTGAGCATCTACTTTATTGGTTATTCTGAAAGATTCAAGGGCTATAAATTTTATGATCCCACACTAAAGACAATTTTTGAGACGGGAACTGCCACGTTCTTTGAGGATATTGAGTTTATGGACTAAAACAGACATCTCGTCATTGGTACCACAAATTTCATCAAGTTATTCTCTCATTTGGTTTCAAGATGAACTTTGTTGATGATTGTGTGTATCAAAAGTTCAGTGGGAGCAAAATATATTTTCTTAGTCTTATATGTTGATGACATATTGCTTGCCACTAATGATATAGGCATGTTGCATGAAACCAAGAGATTTTTGTCCAAAAACTTTGAAATGAAAGATCTTGATAATGCCTCCTTTGTATTAGGAATTCAAATACACCGAGATCAATGGGATACTCTTGGATTATCACAAAGGAGCTATATTTAAAAAGTACTTCAAAGATTTGGCATGTAGGAATGTAAAGCAGGGGATACCCCTATTGCTAAGGGAGACAAATGCAGTCTCAAACAGTGCCCAAAAGAAAATTTAAAAATTCAGGAAATGCAAAAGATTCCCTATGCATCAGCTGTAGGGAGTTTGATGTATGCCCAAGTATGTACGCGTCCAGATATAACATACATAGTTAGGGTATTAGGCAGATATTTAAGCAATCCAGGAATGGATCATTGGAAAGCAGCCAAAAAGGTTATGAGGTATTTGAAGAGAACAAAGGATTATATGTTCACATACAAGAGGTCAGACCAGTTGGAGATCACTGGGTATTCTGACTCGGATTTTGCAAGATGCCAAGATATTTGAGATCCACTTCAGGTTACATTTTCATGTTAGCTGGTGGTGCGGTTTCTTGGCACAATGCCAAGCAAACCCTTCCTGCTTCATCCACTATGACAACAGAATTTGTAGCATGCTATGAGGCATCAAATCATGGAATATGGCTGAGAAATTTTGTCACAGGACAGCAAATTGTGAAAGGAATTAAAAGACCACTTAAGTTATATTGTGACAACAAATCAGCTATATTGTATTCTAACAACAATAGGAGCTCGACCAAGTCAAAACACATTGACATCAAGTTCTTAGTTGTTAAGAAAAGGGTACAGAGTGGACAGATTTTCGTAGAACACTTAGGGACAAACTCCATGATATCAAATCCTCTTACTAAGGGTGTTTTACAGTTTGAGAAATCTTTGATTTAGTGGGAGTTAGTCACATTTATGTATTTTATGTTCTATGTTTGATTTTATGTATACATACATTGACTTTTGGATATATTTGGTTATAGATATATATATGGTTTGTTATTCAGTTATTACACTTTGTAAATTAAGGTTATTAAATAATCTTATTGAGGTAAAGTAGGACCAGTTGAAAATAGACGTATACAGGCTACCTTCACATAATGTTCATGCTACACATTTCATGATGAGTCTATGTCATTTCATTCTGTCAGCATTAGTGATCATTGATGGGTTTGAATTGTGATTGATACAATGGAAACTGTTTTGGTTCTATGTGTTGATGTAATCAATGGACAAAATTTTTGGAATATGCTCAAGGTACGTAATGGTAATTTTTGAGCTCATAAAGTATAACACATTTATAAGGACTGTAAGGATATATATTTGTGATTAGTGGGAGATTGTGAGCAATTTTTGGTCATACATATATATTACATAATTTAAATATGTTAGGGCCATTATTTTATTAGCTAAAATATTAAAGTGGTCTAATTAATATAAGTTTATAGCTAAGGGCATATATGTCATAAAAGGTTAATTGTGTAGATACCATTAGTGATATTATAATTTGATAAGGGGTCAAATTATAATTATCAATTTTGGGGTAACTGATGGCAGTTACAAATACAGAAGTTATGGTCTCCATTTGTAGAGCAAGTAACACACGTACAATTACAGTTCTTTTCTCTTTTCATTCTCGTCAGAAAAGAAACCCAAAAGAAAAATCTAAGGTGCTCTATATTTAGAAGATCAAATACTCGCTATCAATCTCATAACATTCATCATTTCCAATGGCAAATTCAGATATTCTTTCGCATTCTATTTTCATCATGAATTGAGGAACGAGAACACAAAAAGGTTTCATTCATCTCTATGCAGTAATTTTTCTCTACATGGATAGAAAGCATATGATTAGGATTGATAATTGATTGTTTTAATTTGATTAAAATCCAACAGTTATATTACTGTATGTCGGATAGCGATAAAGGATATCAAGTGACAATAATTGCAATAGTAACTAAGGATGTTATACAATGGTGGCGATATACAGCGTTAGGTTGTGAAAATAATAGTTGTTTAAGCGTCAGCATCACTAGAAAATGGTGGATAGTATCAAGGGACAATGAAGTGTCAAATAACAACAGTAGACAATGTTACGCAATCATAATAATTGTAGTGATAGATAATGTTGGGTAATGACTAGAGTAGAAGAAACCAACAATGACGATAGTAATGGCAATGTTTTAGTTAGTGTTGTTGTAGCAATAACTCCATGGACAATAACACTGAAGTTGGTAAAAGTTATATAGTGACAATAATAAATGGTTCAAGTAATGATGATTGGAATAAAAAATATATATCATCATAATCATATTAACTTATGAGTCCTAACACCATCCTAGTACAAGATACAATATAATAAAGGATGCATAACTGTTTATTTAAACATTTATTGAATAAATCCTTTTTGAAATAATAATTTATATCATATTTCATTATAAAGTTTTTTGAGATAAGTTAATAACTTATTTTAATAAGTTATATTAAAAAGTTTATTTTAATAAATTGAAAACAACTTATATGAATCATAAAGTGTTAATAAATTTTTCTAAAATGTAATAACATCATCAGTTCACCAACCTTTTAGTTAAACAAAATTTTTAAAACTTGTCTTACTACTCTTATCCTATATATCAACACCAAATCGACTTAAAAAACATAACGATATTATTTTATTCGATACATTTTTTTAATTTCAAGATAAAATATATTTAGTTCATAATTAAATCTAATTTTAATATTTCAAAAAAATTAATATTAATTATGGTCTTTACAACAAATAAAGAAATTTTAAAATGAACACAATCATCATCACTTGTTAATGATATAACATAATTTTAAACATGTCATTTCACAACATAACACACAACAGTTGTTATCTTGATATTGTCTAGAAAACAAGGTCAATAACAGGAAAAAAAATTAAATAAATTTGCGATGGGACTTTTAGAACAGTTAAAAATTTGAGCATAACATTTGATTGGGGCTACATTTCACTGTTCTAAAATCAACATTCGCAATACAAACAGCATGAGAAACGTTTTACCCCCAATCATCTTTAATTGAAGGGGCCTTAAATCATGATTGAAAACGACAAATATTCATACAAGGGGTGAGGGGCCTAAACACTGGAAGTAGAGAGGCTCTCCCTTACACATACCACAGGTCACTTAACCCATGGCATATTTCTGGGTCCAGCTTCTGGCGGTTGACTCGTACTTGGTCCTGTCTGTCTTGTACATGTGGGCGATTTCAGGGACCAAAGGATCATCAGGATTAGGGTCCGTCAACAGGGAACAAATTGAGAGCAACACCTAAACATGTATAAACAATGTAGGCAATGCTTAATTGCAGTTCAACATCTTAATCTGAGCTCATGGAAATTTTTAGAACGGTAATGTTTAAAACCCCAACTAAAAACAAGCTAAAAACTGTGTTGTTACATGAGTGACTCAAAATTAATGATATAATTCCAAACTTCATGCAAATCATAAAATACAAAGATTTCAGTTTCTTCCACTAACAACCAAATGATTTTACACAAATTCTATTATGAGCTAATATATCATTGAAAAATTGACTAAAATAGCAACCTAGCTGTCAAACAACTTATATCATACAGCAACACGTAATTAGATGATAACTTAGAAAGCCTTTACACCGTAAATCAAAATTGAATGCAAATACTAGAATCAGGTGCCTAATAAATATTGTTGGTCATCAAAGTGTGAAGTTGTCACACCTGGGTTTAGATGGTTCACATTGGATGATTTAGTAAAACAATCAATGGAAGTAGAGCTGTTCTTATTATGTGAAATAATCAAGAAACAAACCTTAGAAATAGTTAGTGCAGGGCTCCATTGCTCCTTCAATATGTCAAGGCAAATACTTCCATTGCTATTTATATTTGGGTGAAATACCTTCGTCCTGAATGCAACCTGCAGTATTCAGGATCCATGAATACAAAGGATCAATTGAAGGAGATAGATGGGATAGAACATAGCATTTGTGATATATACAGAAGGAAGAATTCTCGTTAAAAAATTTTAACATAATAAATACTGAAATTTGTCAATTTTTAAAAATTTTGAGACCAAACATAAAGTTCTGATTCTTGTTAGAAATGAATGTCTAAAAGAAGAAGCATTCACCATTAAAAGGTTCCTCCCAAAAAGCTCTAAAAAAACAAACGGGAAAAGAATATGTTTCGCTGCATATTTAAAAATTAGCACGTAGAGTTAAGGGCAATGTTTCCTACATTGCAGCAGGACACCTCTACGAATACAAACCTTGGGTGGCTTGAAGGGATAATCCGGAGGGAAATGAATAGTAACTAGGAAAACACCCCCAGCATAAGGACTGTCTGGAGGACCCATAATTGTTGCTTGCCAGTGAAACATGTCTTCAGCAACAGGACCTGCAATGTTTTGTAAAACAAAGAGACAAACAAGGGGGATAAGCACAGAGTTCTTCTAAATGCCAACAATACAAAACTAGACTGGACAAATTCCCAAGTCCTAACATAAATAAGCACAGCATTGCATCTCATGCTCTGAATTGATAGGCTTCTGACTTCTGAGAACTAACCAAATGAATTTCCAACAGTTTTATCCAATTAAAATTATGATTTAAAGACTAGTAGCATGATTAGAAAGCTGCAAACAAAAATATCTCTTCAAAATAAACTAATCCAAACACGCACCCTGAGAATTATAATGTCAATTGTTTGTTCGGCAATAAAGGTTAATGTCATAACAGATTTTAAGTAACTCAACAGAGAAATTAGTTTCAATCACCCCTCCAAGCCGGTTGCAGAGTAGCATGAGCAGAGATAAAATTTGAGAAATAAGGTTATAATAATGCAGCATATCAATGATCACACAGACTGCTAAATTTGACAACAGTTGGATCACACCCAAATGGTAACAAACACGCACCCTGAGAATTATAATGTCAATTGTTTGTTCGGCAATAAAGGTTAATGTCATAACAGATTTTAAGTAACTCAACAGAGAAATTAGTTTCAATCACCCCTCCAAGCCGGTTGCAGAGTAGCATGAGCAGAGATAAAATTTGAGAAATAAGGTTATAATAATGCAGCATATCAATGATCACACAGACTGCTAAATTTGACAACAGTTGGATCACACTCAAATGGTAACAATAACATGTACAGGAAAACACAAATGCGGCATGATGTAACAGACACGATCCAGGCAAAAACATCATTTATCAGGCAACAAAAAAGAAAAAAAGAAAAACATAAGCTTAAAGCATGCAGAGAATTTGTTCAAGTGAAAAGCCAGAACTGCAGAAGTGCACAGAATTGTACACATCCCTACAATGTTAAACAATCCTCATAGCACCGTCACTCAGCACAAGCGATTGACCTCTGGCTACATCATGCTTAGATCAACGTCATCCTACATGGAATGATATATAACTATAACCACGGAAACGGCTAAAAAACCGTAATTATTTCTAGAAGATCATTTGCACAAAATACTAGCGAAGGTAAATCAAAGATTGTAAAAAGCACGCGCATCAAAACCTTTACAATACAAAGCGAGAAAGAGCACAGGAACGGTGAGGTATACCGGCGCTGCAAGAGGTAGGAGGATCCTTCTGGAGATCCTTGAGTTCCTTCAAGATCCGCTTGGAAGCCATCGCGAAAACCTAATAAAAATCGAAAATCATTTGAGAAACTAAACGTGATGCAACAAAAGATACAGAGATGAATAGATCTGGAATGAAAGATATGGCATGACTACCTTGTTTGTTCTTCCTCCTTTGTGTTAAGCGAGAGAGGAAAAGAGAAAGAGATGAAAAAGGAAGCGTGTGTGGGATTTGGGGGAAGCAAATGAGCTTTTATAAATGTCTGGTGCGGCTGAGGAATCGATCCACTCTCATTGCCTTCCTCCCCCTTTCCTTATTGCAATTCTTTCTCTTCTAGCTCCCTCCTATATTACTTACCACTGCTATTATTGCTCCTTTTTCTTAATTTTTTTTATTTTCCAAAAGAGAGTGGTTGTGGGTCCCTACTTAGCGTTTTTTGTACGAAATCCAATCCTTCGTATTTTTTTCCTAACCGGGTCAAAAAGTGGCAGCCCAAAAGCAACGGTCTTTGTTTCCGCGTTTTCTCTCAGCATGTCTTTTCACAGCCTATAACCATAAATCAAATTACAAAATAACATGTGATTATAATTCCTTTTTTCTTCCCGCGTTCGGCTCTCTATCGTATCGTTTTTATCTGCTCCTGCCCCTGGTTTCTAAAACGGAACCGTCTTCCTCGTCGTCATGCTTTTAGCATACCTCAGGTATATTTTATTATTTAAATAATTTTATGTGTTTATTAAATATTTTCAGTTCATGTTTTATTCATTCAAACTCGTCTATTATTTACTACAATAAAAATATATTACGAACGTTTCTTTCTTCTTCTTCTTTTTTAATTTCAATGTAATGTATTTCTCTTACCTCTCTTTTATTCTAATTTGCCTTTTTCCTTTTCATTTTTAGGTGCTTAAAACTTAAAATTAATTGCCATGAAAAATAAACCAATCGGTTAATAGCTGTGTTTTAATTTATGTTGAGTTTTGAAGAAAATTTATTCAGTTTTTTTAAAACATTTTAAATAAAAATTATAGTAAAACTAATATACGCTACTCTAAATATGCATGTTTTAGATCAATAATCATAAATAGCGATCAAAGTAAATTGTAATTGTATGATGAGACGTTAAATATATGTTCTTTCATTTTCATTTCTATATTCTTTTCTTTTTTTTGGTAGTTATTTCTATATTCTTTTCATTTTCAATCACTAAACAAGTAATTATAAATAAACTTTCAATTAATCACGGTAAGATGTTGTAATAAGGAACATGTTACACAATTATTAAAAAAATTAAATCGTGTGGGTATTATTGATTTCAATAGATGCATTTAGAATATAAGTTAAAGGACGGAAATAAAAAAAAATGGTAAATGATTTAAATATTATTTTTTCTGTTTAAAATTAGATTATACGCGTTAATTGAACTACAAAAAAGTTAGAACAATTTTATTTTATTTTTGCTCATAAAGTTAGAACAATTTATTCCATACATCCTTTTTTATTTTCATTTTTCCTTACTTCTATATAGAAAGGTCCAATATGCGTCCTTAGATTTCTACCTTATCCATGGGTTATTCTAGAAACTTCTATCTCGATTGCAAATCACTGAATTCTGATAGGAAGTAGAAATTTAATTGAGGATGGTGACAGTAGTAGAAATGGTAAATATTTTTTACTGGAGAATTAAAAATGTACGACCGAATATTATACTTTTATTTTTATTCCTTCTCTTGTTTTATATAACATGCATTGATTATTTATTAAAATTTATTTTAAATAAAATTATTTCACATATATGTGCAAGTAGTAATATTAAAAAAAATCTCCACGTAAATGAAAATAGGCAATGATGAGGCAGTGCCAACTGGATGGGGTCCACTGGACCAGCAGACGGTTGAACGCACGCAACCCAACGAGTTGGCTCATCTCAACTCATAAACTCGTTTAGCACTCTCATCGTCGCAACCCCTTCCTTGCAAGAAACCACAATGGAACGGTTCAGGATGTCGAGGCGCACCCAGATCGACGAGCCTAGTCCTCAACCTCCCAAATGCGACGACGTTCCGGTAGATGATTCCTCTCCAGTTCAGCAAGATGAACGGGACGATCAAGAGAAGGTCTGTAAGCGGGACTACATCGACCTCCCTTCTAACCCCTATTTGATGAAGATTTTGAACAAGCAAGGTTCCTCCTAAATAACCTATAAAAATTAATGTCTCTTACTTTTATCTTATTCAATTAATTTTAATTTGCTGTCTAGTATTAATGTAATTTAATAATGCGGTTGTAATGTCAATAATTGTTCCGATGTTAAATTATCTCTTTTCATCATTTTAGAAACGTTTATGACATATTGCTGTTTTTAAAAGCTAGTGCTAATTATTGAAGAAAGTAAGCACGTAGCCCAATTCGTGAAGTTCTTAATGCTATTGTAATATTTTTCCATTACAGGGGACCAGGTTGTTCTGTTTGCAGATAAAGTTTTGAAGTTCACTGGGACAGGGAAAATGAAATTCCGCATTCTCTTAATTACGGATTTTGCAATTTACATTGTTGACCCAGACACTGATTCCCTTAAACGGAGGGTTGCCCTTGCAGCTGTTGAGAAGATTTGTGTTAGTGAACTAAGTGATAACTTTCTTGCTGTAATAATCCCAACCGAATATGATTTACTTATAGCTAGTGCTCGAAAGACCGAAATTGTCACTGCCTTTGGTGAAGCTACCAGGAGAGCATCTGATTATGAGCTTGATGTTGTTTCTTCCAATAGGTAATTGGAATTTACACTTGTTGCTACTGCATTGCATCGTCTTTTGTTGCTTTATCTGTGTCTTCCATGTGTTGTTGTCTGTGGTTGCTTACATGATCTAGCAAGGGTGTTTTTGGGTTGTGCACTTCTGCATTTAGGACAAAAATGTTCAGAATGTTGGGCAAAAATAGTGATGCCTTTCTGGTCTGGATTAAATTTTTTGTGCTGTTACATACATGTTATCAGCAATCTTTCATTTGGAACTCTTATGCTTTATAGGGAAATGACATGCTTACAATTTAACTTTAAAAAGTTAACAGGTTTTTCTCCCCATTGTTTCAGCAAACCTTTTATGTGTTACAATGTAGAGCTGCACTTTTCCTGATGTGTGCAACTGATTGAAGTCTTACACTATAAATCGAAATAAAAAATGAAAAGAAAAGAAAAAGAGGTCATATGATGTGCGATCCTTTTCTTATAATATTCCTTGTATCTCAACTTTGATATCTTGGGTATGTAAGATTTTGTCTGGTATGACTGTTTGAGCTGTAAAAAAATGTTGATTAAGTACAAGAATGACGGGAAATCTAAGGTGGTGTTTGGCTTGTTAAAATATTTTCAATTTTTGTTCTGTTTTCATTTTCAGTTTCTTAAAATTTGTAAACATGTTTGTATGTTCTATATACTTTTTCTTTTTTCTTCCACCCATATTCCCAATTACTCTTAGAATGACAGCCCTCAAGGAATGCCTTTCTTCCTTCAATGAATGTGAAATAATTTGTCCAACAGTGCTCATATTCTGTTTTGCCAACTGCAACAGTGCTAGATTTGTGGAAAGATGATGTTGTGCAATAATGACGAGTTAAGTGGTGGTGCTTATTTTTCGACCATCGGGAATTATTGGATAGTTAGAATTGAAATAACTGAAGCCTTGTCGTAACATTTCCTTACCCCAAGTTTGAAATTGTTTCTACTGAGAGTGATAAGAATGACTGTTGTTCATAATGGTTATCATGAAACTTTCTTGACTTTTAGTCTATCACTTACATGTTTTGCAATTGCTTTGCAGGTTTGAGTATAATGCAACATCCGACTTGGTTAAAGAAGTTGAATTTGAGGAAGTTGAAGGCACGTGGATAAAGTTTTTTTTTTTTTTAACTTTATTTTTTTGAGGGTGGGTAGACGCAAATGGAAGGGATAATCATTTAGGTCATCATTTAACACTTTCTTATTTCTCTGGTGCACAGTACTTTCTATGATGTTTTTCTGAAGCTTCTCTTATTTCTATTTTAATACATTTCAGGGGGTGTCAAAACAAGAATTTTGAGGAAGTGAATTTGATTTGTATCTTCATGATGATGTCTATAAACTTGGCAGGAAGATACATAAAGGAAATGATTTTTTGAGTAATTGCTTGGGAAACTTTCTCCTCGTATAGCTTCTCCTTTCCAAAGGTTAATTACGCTATTATTCTTATATCAGAAATTTTAAAAGAAAAGAATTATATATGTGATGTAACATGTAAGTTTTCAACTTGAAACCAGATTCAGCTGGATGTATGAAATAGAACTATATCAAATTTTTAGATTTAATATCATTCATTGTGAAAGTTCTTGACTTCCACTAGGCCCCTTTGCATCAAACCCATTCCCTATTTCCCTTTCAGGTAGACCTTGTTTTTTTAGCAGTGTGCTAGTATAGTACCACCGAATATGTTGATGTTAAATATACTTCAGCTAGGGTTACCAGCCCTTTATACAGGCCCGTGCCAATTCCTCCAGTCTGGTAGTTGCAAACTGGATTGTTATCACTGGAATCTAGAGTGAATGCATACTAAATTGAATGTGCAGGATAAATTTACTCATCATTCTTTCTTTGATTCAGCAACTGAGAAGTGCAAAGCAATCCAATAGATGAGATTAATGGTAAAATTGCTTTACATTTTCCCCCTTCAATAAATAGCTTGACAATTGGTTTGGGTTTTGTCATTATATGATGCTTGTACATCTTTTACCGTACTAGCAATAACAATAAAGTTTCTACGGGGGACAATTCAGATGCAATTACTAAAATATATATAAAGTGAGATAAAAATATGTGCAGGTTTAAATGATGTTAGCAAGTTTCCTATTTCTTCCATTCGCCATTCGCAAGTTTACTGTGGAGGTGAAGTTGCTACCGTATGCTTTAATCTTTTTAGTTGTGGACAAGACTCTTGCTACCATATGCTTTAATCATTTAGTCTTTTTGGACAGAACTCATGCTTACCATATGCTTTATCTGTTGCTGTGGCAAAGCCTCAGCTTACCATATGCTTTATCTGATGTTGTAGACAAAACTCATTTGTCATGTTTTATCTGTTGGAGAAAATTTTTGGTATTCTTATATTAATTACTATTTTTCAGTTATTTTTTTATGCTTGCAATTTTTTTTAATTTTAATTTTAAAAAACTAAAATTATGGCCTACCTCAAAGGGAGGACGCATATACTAAATAGCAGGACTGTAAACATTTTCGATTTGCAGGCTTCAAAATCAGTGCCCAAGGCCGATCCTGCCCTCCAAAACGAAGAGAACCCCCTTTCCCTATGAACAAATAATTAAATGAATTGTCAATTTTTTTTTTATATTTTGCATAAGAAGGTATGTTTATGGCCAGTTTTTGTGTTAACCAAGACAAATTTTATTTTAGGTAATCTTAAAGGTTGATGCCTTTACACGGCACTCCTGTACGTTTAAAGGAATTTTTTTTTTGTTAGTGTTGATTCACTGTTAAATTCCTATAGAACAAACTTCTCAAACCAGTGGACCAATGTTTTTAATAAGTTTCCGGATAAAGTCATACAAACAATTCATAAGTAATGATTCAATATAAAAAAATTTATAGAGTACGAAGAAGTGAGTTTTTGGAATTTTTATAATGGCCGGTGGTACAATCGGTTGGTTGCACCGGCTAGTTAATCAAAATTTGAGGTTTTTATCAATTATTGTAGGGGTCTGGGAGAGAATTATTGAACCATAACTTATTAGGTGTCTTATGTGCAGTTCACGACAACATTTGAGGGGAACTAATGTCAGAGCTCGGCTTTCATCGTCATTGTGGATCCCAATTCCACAAACATAACACACCAAAAGACCCACTTGATTCCCTAATTGCACAATATAATACAATAATAAATAGTAAGGGGACCCAATTTGATTTGCCATCAGCTAAATCTGGTAGCTTAACTACTTATAACTAATATTTTAAAATAACTTCAAAGAACCTTTAGATTGATATCATTTCTCCCGTTACGAATATGATTGAACTTGAGACATCGATTACATCTAACAACAATTGACCAAAACAAAAGAATCTCACTGTGTAACTGAGGTAGGTATGTCAACTTCACGAGGGGTGGGTGTAGAAACTTCTGATCTAGACTCAGTGGATGGGACATTTCCAGTATTTACAGGACGAATTTCCTCCATCATTCTCACCACATCAGGAATTTTTGGTCTCTGATCCGGTATTCTTGCTGCACAAGCCATCCCAATTTGTAGCATTCCCACCATTTCTTCCTCTATATTTGGATACCTCAATAGCTCTACGTCAAACACTTCCGCAGTCCACTCCTCTCTGACCACAGAATTCACCCATCTAACCAAGTGAACTACTTGCTCACCTTCTGTGGTGTTTATAGGGGATTTCCCAGTTAGAAGCTCAAGTAGCAAGACCCCAAAACTATAGACATCGGATGCATGGGTTGCTTTGCGCGTGTCTATTACTTCCGGTGCACGGTATCCTGTCGCCCTCATTGCTGGTGTGGGTATTGGACTCATCAATGTTGCCAAGCCTATATCAGATATGCATCCATATCCTTGTGAGTTGACGAATATGTTTGAGGCCTTTATGTTTCCATGAACGAGTTTTCCTCCATGTTGAGCATGGATGTGAGCAATACCTCTTGCTACACCAATTGCAATTCTCAAACGGCTTTCCCAGTCTAAAGAACTCCTGCCTTCCTCTCTTTTGCCTGCATAATGGACATGCAAGAGCATACTTACATTAGCCACTTTCAGAAAGTACATGGAAAATTATAGGGTGTGTGGGGTTCAAGTTCAAATGACTAATGGATGCAAGTTTACTTCAACACTACTAATTGTAGTTTCTGTCGTTGGGTCCACATTTACATGTTTTTAACATATTTTCAAACACACACTTATATATATATGAAGAAAGCATCATAATTGGATTGAATTTTATTAGTTTTAATTGCAAGAAAGACACAACAATTGGGAAAATGACCATTAGCCAAAATCAAGCCACAAGACCAACCGATTCCCTGACTTAGCAGTCATGATTTGTGAATTTAATGCACCTATAGTCATTGACAAATTCTAATTAGGAACATCCCTGATGACATAGTAATAGCTCTATTACTAGGATACATTGATATGTGAGACGCTACGTAGGAGGACAGAACAAATCAATTGACAGTTGCACTACATACCTAGTAGTTTAGACCTGGGCATGCTCAATAAAAAAATTCCTATTATGTAATAGCAGAAAACTATACTTCCACTTTGTAAGTTTTCTGGGAAAAATTAGAGTTACTGAAGATAATTTAATTGCAATTTTTTAATGAGAGAAAAGGTTCAACACACCATGTAACATTGCAGAAACGCTGCCTTGTTGATAGTAATCATATACTATAAGTTTCTCCTCCTTTGAATAGTAATATGCCCTCAAGGCATCCACATTGTCATGCTTAATTTTCCCCACCACCTCTATCTGCTGTTCAAAATCCCGTTTTCCAACAGTGACCTCCTTCAACCTCTTTACCACCACAGTGGTTGCATCTTCCATAGCAGCCTTATATGTTGTACCAAAGGTACCCTTTCCAAGAATCTCAGCAGAAGCTCTCAACAGGTCCTCTAGATCAAATGCAAGATTGCAACCCTCAAAGAAGACAATTTTGTTCTTGTCTTGACTTCCAGAAGATTCTGTTTTCAAAGAAACTTCTTTTCTCTGGGATTTCACTTGTTGCACATCCACATCCGCATTCGTATAGCAGCAGACAATCATGAAACCTGCAATCACCACAAATCCCAGCACACAAACACCAATGATAACACCCAACAATGCTGGTTCACTGAGTCCTTTGGTTTTCTTTGCTGGAAGAGCAGGTGGTGGTTGCACAGGAAAAGCTGGAGGAAGTGCATTTACTGATGTAAGATTGTTACCAGCAAATGCCGAACTTGGAAATCTAAGAAGCGATTTTGGCACAACCCCACTAAGGCTATTGTTGGCTAGATTCAGCTCTTGTAGACTAGGAATATTGATATCAGGAATCTCACCAGAAAGCAAGTTGTTGGCAAGGACTAATAAAGTGAGATGAGTCAAGTTTGAAATTGAGGAAGGGATGCTCCCATTAAAAGAATTGTTGGATAAATTGACAGCACTAAGATTACTCCAAACTGAAAAATCCAATGGCAATGGACCAGAAAACTTGTTGGATTGAAGATAGAGTCCTGTTAAGTTTTTTAGCTCAGAGAAACCATCAGGGAAAGGACCTGTTATACCATTTGATCTAAGACTCACAATTTCAAGTGCTGAGAGGCGACTGAGAGTGTTGGGTGGGATTGAACCACTCAACCCTGCTCCTGGCAATCTAAGGGCTATAACTCGGGATTGGTCAGTGTTGCATGTCACTCCTCTCCATCTGTGGCAAACAAGAGTGTTCTCATCCCAATTGACATGTGGAGAGTGATTGATGTTGTTAAGGAAATCTAGCAAAGCTTGTTTATCTTCCACTGGTTCAGCTCCACCACTAGCCAACACTGCTGAAAAAATGAACAAGAGGGCCAACTTCTTGTCCATTATCTGGCTTGAAGAGAGAAAATCAACAGTTCCACACTACTTGGATGTAAAGTGAGGCCTCTCCTCAAGATATCGGTAACCTATTCATGATACCAAACTGTAGAAATAAAGGAGGATTAGATAATTAAACGAGTATTTTCCATATATACGCAAACTTGAACCAAAGACATTGCGTATGAGACATGCTTAAGTGCACCGTAAGCATTTTACTAAGACTATATAATTACTAATATCTTGGGTCAAAATAAACAGCTTGTGTTAGACATGGAAAACTAACCTTATTAACAATTTTTTTTGTTAACCTACTCGGTTGATTTTCCTAGTGACCACAATAATAACGATGCAGACCAAAACTTCGAAACTAAAAGTTTGATTAACCAGGTAAATTAGCCAGCCAAAAAAAAATGTCGATGACCAAGACAATGACAGCAGACAAATGAATTAGACCCCTCCCAAGTTTCTAAATATCAGAAAAGGGTATAAATAATATTAAATAAGGACTTATTAATTAAATTTGATAAAAATTGTATTTATTTTTAATAACATGACCGTATAATATTATTCTGTAATATGAAAGGATCTAAAACTATTGAATTGTATGGAAATCAGAAACCTAAACACCCCAAATATTTTCATCCGTATACACAAGAAAAGCATTAAAAATTATAAAACTTTTCGGTTTATTCTTTCCTTGCGTTTTGGAACTAGTCCAAATGAACACTCAACAGAGCTATAAAGCTAAAGGCAGAGTACTAAACTGTTGACATTTCCATAAAGAGAGAAAATGGAATACTTACAACTCACTTCTAGATCCCAAAATCCACCAAACTAGTTAAAGATCCAAAGTGAGTATGCAATGTTGTGTAGAATTATAGCACGATTCTTGAAGAAGAAAGAAAGTGATGAATTGGGGTGTTAGCAAGAGAACCTGTAGGTCCACGACCATATCAGAATCAGATACACGTTCATCTTGTTTCCGAAGCAGTTAGAGGAAGAAAATCCAAACTGGGGTCATTGCAATGATGGTGTATTGGTAGTGATGGAAGATGAGCTGTATTTGCTTGCGAGAACAGCACCATCACATGCAAATGAAGTAGTAAGAGAAACTCATTCGGCAATCATTTAGAACCCAAAGACTGCATATTATTTTATGCCGTACAAATAGGAGGGTGCATGTGGAGGACTTGCTTATATTATATATCAATTATTTTTTTATCTATGCACATTTATATGAGTTATATAATTTATTTAGTCACTAACTCACACGGATAACCTTCATAATAAACTAAAATAAAAGGAATATACACATGCTGGCTGTAACTGATCCTATGGATGCTGTTTGAATTTTCTATGACTCTGGGCAATTATAGGATTGTTAGTGGGAAATATTAATAAAAATTAAAAAAATGCTGTCACTGAGAATTTCTCTTGGTCTCTTCAAACAAATCCACCATGTGGTACACTCTAGCATGGTATATCGTGGAGGGTCATTAAATTCTAGATCACCTTTGACCCAAAAAAAAATCTAAATTACCAAAATAAAATAAATAAATAAGATGGTCAAAGAATCATCATTTACCTTTGAATAACTATATATTTGAGTGCCAAAAAAAAAAACTATTTATTTGGCATTAATGGTAATTAAATCCTCAGGGCGGTATACTATATATAAGTAAGCCACTTAGGCAATTACTTTTGTCTCATTTATAATCGATTACATTAATTCATTTTAAGTAATAAAAAAAACATCTCTTCCAGTCAAAATGCTAAAAAGTAACAAGTGTTTAATAGGAAAAAAATGATTTTCTATAATATTTTTACCTTAAGATTTTAAAAAATGTTAATTGAAAATTAAATTTATTTAATATCTTAAAAAAAAAAGAAAATTTTGATACGATATTTAGTGAATAGGAAAATTAGTAAGAAGTTATCAGAAGAGAATTTGTAATTATTCTTCCTACTCACTGTGTTTTTCTTTACTCGTCATTTAAGATTATAACATACGACTATTGAGAAATTTAATTAATATTTTTATCTATATTAAAATTATTTGTATTTTATTAATAAATTTAAAGTTTATCGTGTTATTGTATTGGCATGATTACGTTGGAAAAGAAATTAAAAGCACACTTTTTACTAAATAAAAATTGACCGTAATTAATTAAGATTCATTACTTATATTTGATAAAATAATTTTTTTTTCTTTTTAACATCGTCAAATCGTATTCCTAGCGAAAATGAGAGGATTCAAATTCATAAATTTTTTAAAAAAGTTTTTTTTTTTTTTTTTTTGTCTATTATAACGGTTTTTGCATTATGTTGATATTTTCCTGGTAAGTATATAATAAAAAAAAATCAAAATAGATAAAGAAAATGATATAATTGAGAAAATAATTATTAATATTATCTTAAAGTTTAAAATATTAGGTAAATAGATAGAACTACAAACTTTCTTTTAAAACAATAGACAAAAACAAAGAAAGAAACTACGTAATTCAATATATTAATAAGATCTATTAAAAGTTCTTAACAAATTCATTATCAACGTAATAATTGTTATCAACTCCTAATATTACTTTTGATTAGCTTGGTTTATTTTTAAAATTAAAGAAGTGCTAATGACAAAAGAAAGGTCAATAGATGTATTATGTTGTATTAAAAGACTATTCTCCTAAATCCATATACTATTTATAAAATAATATTTACAATAGTTGTAATAATTGTTGCCACAAAATGAAAATTTTAAAATTAAAATTATTCGTAATTGAATGAATTATGTAACCATAGCTCAAAGGGAAAAATATTAATTGATGAATTTTATTAAATTAAGCTCTCCCAAAAATTTCAGACTCTAATCCTGGAGATGATGATGTTACAAGTTAATTTATATATACATAGTAGAAGATTATGATGAAAAGGTTGACATTGGGTGGCTGAATGTTGAAAGCAATGGACATGAGGAAGTTGAGCAGGCCACTGAAAGAAAGGGTTTATTCCACATGTGTGATGTAACATTGCTTTGGCATATAACATTTTAACATCACACATACATGGCAGCCGTTGATCTCACCATTTGTATCTAACTCATCTATCAAATCTAAATCAACTAAAATAAGAGTCAACTATGTTACTCCTTTGACTGCAGACATTTTTGACAACAAAATTTACAAGTATTGGCATATCAGATTGGACCAGTTAGTTTAGATGGGTTTGAAAGAAAATATAAATACAACCTAATATGATATAATCAAAGAATTTTATAATTTTATTTTAAATTTAGTTAAAATAGTAAATAAATTATTTTTATTTCTAGTTAATGTTTTATATAAATATAAAATTTATATAAAAATTATACTTACATAATCATGAATTTTGAATTTGCATGACACGACCCAAATGCAGCTTCATTTGAATTTTAAAATGAGAAAAAGAGGGCCAAGAGGCATAATCTTAGAGAGGAAAAGACTCATCTTCTTTCTGGTTCTTATTAGACCCTCATCTTATGTTCTCTTTTCTCTTGTCGTGTGGTCTTGCACTGTTGTTTGCAAGACTCTCACTCGTTCTGTATTTCTGTTCACTGCTACAAGTGCCTTGAAAAGACAACAAAGGGGGGAAACTCAAATTTAAGAAAAAAATTACTTGAAAACACGAGGCCAAAAAATTCTGTACATGCCAAGTTTATAGTCTAACCCGTTTGAATCTACCCATATTACGGTTAAAATTGACCGTCGTTCATCCCTTATTACAACGGAGTTGTCGCTGTGAATGTTAATGCATTACATGTTATTTCAGGCCCATGACGGTGGATCACAGGCTCATTGATTCATTATACCTCATTTGTATTAGTTAAAAGTTAAAAGATAGCTTTGTTACTTACCTAATAGAGTAATAATTTTTGTTTTAATATGATTTAAAGAAGTATAATACAAATTTATATATATATATATATATATATATATAAAGAATAATTATTAATATTTTAAAGTCTAAATTATAAGAAATAAAAACTTATTTTTAAATAAATAAATATTTTTTTATGAACAAAATTTAAATATAATATCATAAATTTTTTGTATAATTTTTCAATTAAAATTGGAGTTGAATTTTATCTTAATAATTTATATAATAAAAATTGACATGAAAGGTCTGCACACTAAATATTGGTACATATTATTGAAGTGAAACTCTACTTTTAATTAAAAAAATAGCAACAAAAATATCTATAATATTGTACATAAGTTTTGTCTTTTTGTTACTTATTGTAAAATTTATATTAACAGACTAATCACCTTTTACTTGTATAAATTAACACATTTATTCATCTAATATATAAGACACCAATTAATATTATGAATATTATTAAAATAAAGTATAAATTTATGATATATAATTATTTTTTATTAGTCTTAATAAATTGAGTATTTATTTCTTATAAATAAGATAAAAAGTAATATTTTTAAAGTAAAAATTTTAAAATATCATAAAATTTAATATATTAATAATATTAACTATAATTTTTAACATATTAATCAATTTTTATTATATATTTTGAAATTTTTATTACATAATTTATTTAATAAAATTATGATTTTAATTATAAAATAATATTTAATAGTTTAAGATATTACATTTTAAATTTATCCTAAATAAAAATATCAAAAGTTAGCCTCAATTTTTTTATGACAATAATGCTGTTGGCGGCATGCTCCCCTGAAACAAAATGCCAAAGTTTAAATAATAAGAAACGGCTTAAAATATATTATCATCGTAACGACCAAAATGAAGAGCAATGCATGCATGCTATCTTTATTGTTATTATTATATATTTCCTTTTAAAGGTGGGTAGGCGATGCTTTCGTCTGTACTTGACACTGCCCTCCTTAATAAAACTCAAACAACTTGCATCCATTCATTGTAATGTATTATTCTTGTGAATTTTACGGTACTCTAAATTTGGAACCATTTTGATTACTCACCGTTTATTATTTTTAATATTTTTATTTATATTGTTATTTTTAGTTTTAGAATTAAAAATAACCACAGAGATTACTTAATTTTATAATATTCAAACAATTTG